CGTGGATGCAGGTTGAGCGGCGGCTGCCCCCACCCCCGTGTGTCATATCGACCCACTTGCACATAGTCAAAAGGCAAAGAGGCAAAGAAAAGAGGAAGTGCAAGGAAAATGAGCAACAGCGAGATGACAAATCCAGATTACACAATCACATTGAATGCCAGATAGTCACACCGTGTCCAGAGAGCAGCATTGCACCAATAATACACCAATGGAGGTTCACCAATGGAGGTTCGTAGTACTGAAAACCAATGCCAAGGAGAGCTTTCTCTCTCCACACCAACACAAGAGTCCAGTCCCTTCACTCTCCTACTTGGCGCCCAACGCCCAGCCTACTCCTACACAGCTATTATCAGCCTACTAATTGACAATGCAATTGTTGACATCAACGGCAACCCGAAGTACTTGAAGATGTCGCCCAAAGCAGACCATCGCCAATACAAGGTATGTGCCSTCACATCATCATCATCATCATCCTTCACCCTTCCCTGACTTTACACCCACGTCTTATCCCCTTTCCACCCAGAGACCACTCATGCGCCTCACTATAGTCCAAGCCCACCAGCTATGGTGGCTGGGCTATGGCGTTGCCCTCAACAGCGCCCTTCTTCCCTACACGACCGCACGCGCTGCACCTCGCCTCTCAGCGCCAGCAGCAGCCCACGAGCCTTTGCTCCAGCAGCGCTGCCGCTAGCATGCGAGTACCTCAATGCCGCTGAGAGTGGCGAGCTCTTTCCTATATGGAAAGAGCCTGCCTGCTTCGCAGCCTTGCTGGGCTGAGCCTGGGCCCAGAAGCTTCCGGTAGGCCCCAGGATGCTGCGTGCCATTTTGCGGCTACAGGGCCTCTTTCGGTTGGGCCTCTCAACTGTCACTGTATGAGGCTGCATTTCTCGCCCAGGGCCTGCATTTTTCGGAAAGGCCCAAAAGGCCGTGAAAATGTCTTGTTTGCTCGGCCTGTGTTTCTATCAACCAACTTGCGCGTCGCAACTGCCTGTACCCCAAATATGAAATTGACAGTCAAAGGCCTCTTGCGATATGTTAGGCCCTCCTTCACTTAGGGTGGGCACCACTTCAACCAGGGCCCCTTAGGCCTGCCGAGGACCCAAATCCTCGCATTCCCTCCTCCTTTACTTTGTTAGTCCTCTGAGAAGTCTGATACTCTGCAGGCATCTTCCCTTTGAGTTCTCTTTCGTAGCCTGCAATCACTTGAGGTGTTGTTCTCATGAGTTCCTCTCATGTGAACCAGCGATCTTCTTTAGGATACACATGATGTCTGAATCTCACACGATACTACATTCTTGGTTTAGGAGGACGGCCTCTGCCCGATGGTCGAGGTACTGGCATCACTTGATGCTCCACGATCTGGTCAATGTCCACTTCGCCATCCATGGTTGGGGGCAACATTGAGCTTCTTGAAGGCAACTGATCAGTGGCAGCGAAAGGTGCCAACTTGGAGGCATGGAACACAGGGCAAGTGCGTAAGTGCGCAGGAATGCGAATCAAGTATGAAGGCCCATCCAGTTGATCCCCTACAATGTCTAAGATCTCCCAGGGCCCGAAGTACTGTGGCATTAGTTTACGTGAAATGCCTAACTCCTGACCTAGTTCAGATGACTTGACCCAGACTCTATCACCTACCAGAAAGTTAGAGGGCCGTTTGTGCTTATTCTCAGATGCGATCATTGCATCCTGAGATTTTCTGATATGTTCAACGGCCTGCTGCAGCATCTGTTCATATTTAACAGCAAACTCTATGCTGCCAGGTGCTGCAGTGGGTTCTCTTTCTGGTAGTAGAAAGTCGAGTGCAGTTCTGGGTTTCCAACCAAGATGTAGTTGGTTGCAAGACGTTCCTTTAGGACTGTGCACAGCGTTGTTATACAAGCTGGCGACGAGAGGTAACTTCTCGTCCTCGTCGTCCTGGCTTGGCTTGATATAATGTCTAAGCAGGTGTTGTACTACTCGATTCATCTGTTCTGCTTGGCCATTTGACTCAGGGTGATTCCCTGATGTCATTTGGAGCTTTGTGCCTATCTTTTCAACAGTTGATTGCCACCGTTCACTAGTGAATCTCACATCTCTGTCACGAACAATAGATGTAGGCAAACCGAAGTCGTGTACCCAGTTATCCATAAAGAGTTTGATGACGTAGTCAGTTTTAGCATTTTTTGGCATAGCGATTAGTTTGGCATGCTTTGAAAAGCGATGCACTATAACAAAGATGTGTCTTTTCCCAGACATGCTGGTCACAAGAGTATCCATGAAGTCCATGGACACACTCTGACCCAGTCCTCCAGAAATCGGCAAGGGCTTAATCAACCCAAGCGGAGCCTAAGTCCTCGGTTTGTCCCTTTGGCAAACCTGGCAGGTTTCAACGTATCTCTTGGCATCTTGCATCATAGAGGGCCACCAAAATCTCTGTACTAAGTTCGCTTTTGTCTTTCTATAGCCAAAATGACCAGTTGCATCATGACATTCTCCTAAAAATAAACAACGTAAAGACTCACTATCACGAACACACAACCTTTTATTCCCCGCCTTCTCAAGAAACAGCAAGCCGTCTATCATCGTAAATTCACCCAAAGTTTTTTTTGTCCTTTGCTTGGAATTTACGGATGATCTCAGACATAACTGGATCTTGTTGATAGGCTTCCACCAATGATCGAGTCAGATCATTAGATATGCCAAATTCAGTAACCAACGAGCCCAGATAATCTGCCCGACGAGATAACGCATCAACCACTTTGTTGTACTCTCCCTTGATGGGATCAAGTTGATAGTCATACATGTCTATCACTTGTATCCATCGCTTGAGTGCATCAGAGAGCACAGGTTGTGTCTTGATCCAGCGCAAGGTCTCATGGCCAGATCTCACATAGAAGAATCTGCCTAGGAGATAATGTCTCCAATGAACCAGCGCTCAGGGCATAGAGCTCACGCTCGTACGTGGACTTTGCTGGCTTTTGAGATGGCATCTTCTTACTCGTGTACTTGATCGGTCTCAATTTTTTACCCTCCTTTTGCGCAAGGACCACGCCTATGCCATATTGGCTGGCATCTGTGGTCACGACAAAGGGCTGATCAGGATCCGCGAGCTTGAGGACTTCATAGTGTGTTAGCGCATACTTCAATTTCGTGAAGGCTGCCTCACACTCTTCTGTCCATTCCCAAGGGGTGTCAAGTTGAGTTAGATTTGTTAGTTCTTCACAAACGGACGATAATAACCCGTCATCCCCAAAAACGATCTGACCTCAGTGACAGTCTGAGGTCTAGGCCAGTCTCGAATGCTGGCCACCTTTGCATCGTCTGGCCTCAACCCATCTGCTGAAATTTCATGACCCAAGTACAAGATCTTAATGCGACCAAACTCGCATTTCTCCAAGTTAACCTTGTATTGGTGTCGTCTTAGGAGACCTAGCACTATTTTCAAGTGCTCAGCGTGCTCCTCTACAGTGTTACTAAAGATGAGGATATCGTCGAGGTACACGACGATAAACTTATCTAAGTAATCATGAAAGATCCTGTTCACTGCATGCTGAAATGTCCCAAGCGCATTGCATAGGCCGAAAGGCATCACCACAAACTCGTACAGACCGTACCTGGTCTGAAATGCGGCTTTGTGTTGATCCTCAGGTCTAATAGCAATTTGATAGTATCCGGACTTTAGATCTATCTTAGTAAAGTACCGGCATCCTTGCACTCTATCCAGTAGGTCATCGATGCGGGGTAGGGGCTTTGCGTTTTTAACAGTGATGGCATTGAGACCCCTATAATCAATGCATATCCTCAGGGTACCTCCCTTCTTCGGTACGAATAAGACTGGAGCGTCGTAAGGGGAGGTACTAGGTCGAATCCATCCCTTCTTTGTGAGCTCCTTGAGCTGGCGGAGGAGCTCATCCAACTCCGCAGGAGACATCCTATAGATTCGTCATCTAGGCACCTTACTACCTGGGACAACCTCTATTGCATGGACAACCTCCCTTTCGACCACGCCTGTGGGCTCCTAAAAAAGGTCAGAATACTAAGCGACGACTGATTCTATATCTGGGGGTGTTTTTACGGCCTCCCCTTTCTCAGAGACAAATACTAGATACATGCCCTCCTCGCGATTCTGCTTATAACAGTCATAAAAAGATTATGCACACATGCACCCGTTGTTTTCTATCAGACTGCTAACTTTAAACTTCTGCAATCTAACAAATCTACCATTGGGCATTTTGTGAATCAAGACCTTTCTATCCCAGTCAAACTGTGGTTGCGCGACCTCGAGGTAGTACATACCTAGGAGCATGTCAAAGGGCAGTTCGTCGCTAACCAGGAAGGAGATTGTATGACTCACTTCCCCTCCTCCATAGTAGAAGGTACAGACTACGGCCCTGACATAGTCTTTTAACATTTGGTGCTTGTTGGCCAGCGTAGAAGCTACAGTTCTGCTAAGCCGCTGCACTTGGTCCCCTAAGCGCAGTCTATCCACACAAGCACGACTGATGAAGTTCCGTGTAGAGCCTATGTCTGCGAAGGCGCCAACTTTGCGGCSACCTACATCAACCTCTACCACGAAATGTTCACCCTTTGGACCTCTATTGATCATCGTCCGAGAGTCCCTGGGGTCCTTCCCTGACCACCTAGTCTCTAACTCTTCTAGGGTCTGAATGTGTCCGCGCGGCGATACGTGGGTCACTAGCCTTGGCCAACGCCTGAAGTGTGGAAGGCAACGTTACCACTTCAGCGCGAGTAAGAGCGGCTAAAACTCCTACTGGCCCGAGGTGTTTCCCTGCGAAGTACTCGCAGAAGCACGACCAGAGTTCGAAGATAGTCCCACCACTGTTGGTGAGGCTACCCTTGTGGTGACCTTCTTGCCTCGACACGTTCTAGACGTGTGGCCAAAGTTGCCACAGTTCATACACGTGCCCCTGGCAACTCGATCCCTCCACACCTCATACTCTAAACCAAGTTTCACCCAAGCGGGTGTGCCTTGGTCGCCCTGACCCCGTAGACCGGCCTACCTTCTTCTTCCCGGTCCCCCTAGCCTTTTCCTTGATGGGTGCCACGACTCCCCCATCCGAAGTCTCACTGGCCCCATCATGCTCTGTCTCGTCCCCTAGATCTGGGAACTCGTCAATGTCTGTCGTTTGACCATCGTGGTCAACGAACATCAACTGACGCTTCTTCTTCCAGTCTTGGGGAAGTCTCTTCTTCCTACCATCCCCCTGACTCTGATGCGCGGACCCCAATTTTGCCTCTATATCTAAGGCCTTTTTGCTACAAGAGGCGAAGTTGTGCTGCTCGACATAGGCCTCATCTACCAGCTTTGTCCTTACCTCTGAAGGTAGACATCTAAGGTAATCTGTGAGGAGTACATGCTGGTCATAGCGCACACCAGGTACCACGACCAGACGTTCTACGGTGTCTGTTAGCTCACAAACATTCTTGTACCTTCTGGCACAGAGACTGTTGATTGCATCAGTGGCCTTTTGAGCCCCTTGAGGGTCATGCCACCTGTTGCACACGGACCGTACGAACTCTTCCAATGTCTGGGCCTGGGCCCAGGCATCGAAATTCTGACCGTAGCCCTGCTGCTGCACTAGGTCATTCAACCAGTGGGCTGCTGACCCCTCTAGAAAGGAGGAAGCCACTACAACTTCTTGCTCTGGCCTGGTAAGCTTGTGCCTCACATAAGTAGGCACCGTCCTTACCCAGGTATCCAAATCCTCATCCTTCTTCCTGTCGCTGGAGAAGGGCTTAGGACTCAGCAAGGGTATTTTGGGCATCCACTGCATAGGCTGTATGGGCCCAGGGGCTTGCTGCAGTGGCTGGATAGCCACCGAAACAGGTTGCTGCACACTAACCTGGGCCTGACTTGACAGTGGGACTGTAGTAACCACTGTCGTCGATGGTACGACTGAGACTCTATGAACCGGACCACTAGTTGCTACGTAACCACCTGGAGGGGGCATGCCAAACATAGGTGAGAATGGAGGCCCTACCGGCGGCAGCGTCACTGATGGACCCGCACCCGAAGGGGGAGCTACAGCATATTGAGGCTGCCTCATCATGGGACGAGGAGCCTGCAGTGCAGCCAGAACAGCACTTCCTGCTGGACAGCCTGCGCTTCTGCCACACAGAGAAGCGAGTTGCGCACCGCTTGTATCGCAGGGTCAAGTGCTGACTCATCTAATGCTTCTAATCTGCCTAGCTCCTCTCTCCTACTACCTAGTCTAGCTTTCCTCATGATTGCTTTCCTTCTCCTCTCTGCTGCCTCATCCAACTGCCGTTGTAGCTCATCCTGAAGTTCTTCTGCTTGGAGGACCCCTGAGAACCAGTCTGACTAACTCCTGACGAAGTGGCATGTGAAGAGGCCTACCCGTAAAAAGGTTGTGTGCCCGTAGGGTCGGCTCGCGATGGTACTCTGGGATGGGTTGGATCCTGCCGTTTGGGCAATTAGAATGGATGGCGATTGAAAGGCAGTACTGTCAGGCCGGGCATCTGACCTCTATAACAATCCTGGGTCTTAAGAAAAAAAGGAAAAAAAAAAAAAAGGCATGTGACATGGTAGAGGAAGTAGCCATGGTCGTATCGGTGCTAGCTGAAATCCTAGACCTGGCACTATCCTCAGTTAGCCTCGCTCTCCTTACCGCTGCTCTCTCCCTAGCCTCTCTCCGCAATCTCCTCTCGTCTCCTGGACCTCACTCTAGGAAAGTCAAAGCTCGACTGCGAGCAGTTCCACGCGTAGTCCTACGGTCGTCCACTAACAACTCCTCCTCACTAGTGCTTGCATCACTCATGAGCTACAGTGTGTGTGATCTAAACTAGAATCCACACTGAATCCTACCTTAGCCTGACACACAACCGATTACAAATCACAACTAATTTCGGTCGGCCTGAAACAGTTAGGTGATGTAGTAACAACTAATGTCAAATCCTACAGGAAATATCACATCTATTTTAGATTACTCTAGAACAGACTGCAATGCAGCAAAAAACTAATATGTATGCAGCCGTTTGTTAGTTGTTAGTCAAGTCTGTAACAACTAAATAATAAAAAATAAAAATAATATCTCCTGTTGGAGATGTATACTGGATGGCAGATTGTCTAATAATTGTCATTGTGAACAGTTACCGGAATCCCCCCTCCCCTGTATCCTTCTTGATTTGTCATTTTGTGTCAACGCCCTGAGCATTTGGTTAAGCAGCGTGTTTGAAGGTGTGCAATCCGGCCCACCCCTGTGCCCCAAGTCAATGTCGAACCTGCCAGCCCCTGCACATTATTTACCCTCGCATGCAACGAGCCTTACACCCGGTTTGATCTGGCTGATCAGGAGGCATTTAAGGAGATCCCCCAAACTCCGCAAGAATAATTTAACGTCGCAGACAAGACGACGATCACAGTCAAAGTCAACACCGAGTCCCCTCCAGAAATATTTACAAACGGTCCGGTAAGCGTCTGTTCAAAGGGCTGGCATGCCCTGCATGACCTCTATTGCGCAAGCAGCCGAACCAAGGACGTGCGGCAAAGCATGCGTGTACTGGTCCCAACGGGTTGGCATGGTGACCGTGACCCGAGTGCTTCGTCCAGCGCCCTTCAAAGGCTTCGCCCGTCTCCCACCAGCTTGCTGCCCAGGAAGAATGTGGACTCTCAAGGTTGTGCGCTCGCGACACCTCACATCGAGAGGACTCTCAAGACAAGACTCACTTCCTCATGGTAAGAAGTAATGAAGAGGGTAGATAAGGAAAGAGAGCAACATACCTTATAATGCTGCCCCCAACCACAAATTTCTCACCGGCAACCTGATGTGCATTTATGATGACCGGTCTTTGCCTCGGCACAACCAATAGCAGAACGTCGTTCCACCTCGGCTTAATATGCCACATCAGCGAGCTCTCATCATCCAGCATACACCCCGTATGTCACCACATAGATTCCTGGCGCGCCCACACGACCCTTGGCCGCCCTACGTTCAACGCCCAAGCCTTATCACTGCCCCACACCTCATGCGAAGCACCGAACAGCTACTGCGAAGAAATAATGAAGCGCAATATGAACCAGGTCTGATACCAAATTGCAAGGAAATGAGCAACAGCGAGATGACAAATCCAGATTACACAATCACATTGAATGCCAGATAGTCACACCGTGTCCAGAGAGCAGCATTGCACCAATAATACACCAATGGAGGTTCGTAGTACTGAAAACCAATGTCAAGGAGAGCTTTCTCTCTCCACACCTACACAAGAGTCCAGTCCCTTCACTCTCCTACTTGGCGCCCAGCGCCCAGCCTACTCCTACACAGATATTATCAACCTACTAATTGACAATGCAACTGTTGACATCAGCGGCAACCCTAAGTACTTGAAGACGTCGCCCAAAGCAGAACATCGCCAATACAAGGTATGTGCCCTCACATCATCATCATCATCATCCTTCACCCTTCCCTGACTTTATACCCACGTCTTATCCCCCTTACACCCGAAGACCACTCATGCGCCTCACTGTAGTCCAAGCCCACCAGCTATGGTGGCTGGGCTATGGCGCTGCCCTCTGCAGCACCCTTCTTCCCTGCACGACCGCACGTGCTGCACCTCGCCTCTCAGCGCCAGCAGCAGCCCACGAGCCTTTGCTCCAGCAGCGCTGCCGCTAGCATGTGAGTACCTCAATGCCGCTGAGAGTGGCGAGCTCTTTCCTATATGGAAAGAGCCTGCCTGCTTCGCAGCCTGGCTGGGCTGAGCCTGGGCCAGAAGCTTCCGGTAGGCCCCAGGATGCTGCGTGCCATTTTGCGGCTATTGGGCCTCTTTCGGTTGGGCCTCTCAAGTGTCAGTGTATGAGGCTGCGTTTCTCGCCCAGGGCCTGCATTTTTCGGAAAGGCCCAGAAGGCCGTGGAAATGCCTTGTTTGCTCGGCCTGTGTTTCTATCAACCAACCGGCGCGTCGCAACTGCCTGTACCCCAAATATGAAATTGACAGTCAAAGGCCTCTTGCGATATGTTAGGCCCGCCTTCACTTAGGGCGGCCACCACTGCAACCGGGGCCCCTTAGGCCTGCCGAGGACCCAAATCCTCACAGAAGGGAACAGCCAAATAAAACAAACCAGGGGGCAACAAGATCCTAGATGACAAGTCCCACATGTAAGCACCGCCCCCAACTTCACAGGCCAAACGACGGGACAAGACCAACCAGGATATCAAAACACTCCTGCCTGCAGAAAAAAAAAATCCCCAAATACATATCTATATACAGCAGATGGCCTTATTCGTCATCAAGATGTTGAAGTCCGATTCCTAAACCATTCATGCTCTCCAGTGTCGGTGCTGGTCCAAACTGAATACTGGAACACCAAAGACAATCCCAGATGACGATTCCCACCTAAAAGCACCGCCTAGCCCCATCAATAGGCCGAACAACGGGAAACAACCAACTAGGATGCCAAAGAGATAAAGAAGCATATCCACAGTAAGAAAACGAAACAAATCCTAGATGACAAGTCCCACATGTAAGCACCGCCCCCACGTCACGGGCCAAACGACGGGACAAGACCAACCAGGATATCAAAACACCTTGCCTGCAAAAAAAGGAATCAATCTATTGCGATTGCCGCCGTCTGTGCTGAAGGATGTCCAACAAAACATAAAAGACAATCCCAGATGACGATTCCCACATAAAAGCACCGCCCCCAAATACACAGGCCGAACAAGGGGAGACAACCAACCAGGATGCCAAAATAAAAAAGAACCCGGATGACTAGCCCCACACAGGAGTGTCTTTGTATTGTTTTGCCGTTGGCGGTGTCCCAGTATTCCAGTCGACATTGAATACCAACTTCTTGATGCCGAACAAGGCCATCTTGTTGCATACTGTAACTGTGCAGACCAGAACAAGAACCGACCTCTCACTACGAAGTACAAGATGGCGAAGCAGAAGACTTAGATACCAATGATCCGAACAATCAATCTTGCAATGCAGCCCCGAACATACATCATCATCATCATCCCATTGTGTGAAAGGGGTCTGGCGCTCACACAGGAAGAATGCGCCAGCCCCACACATACACACACGAAGAAGAGGGGGGTTAGACGAAGAGGAGGGAACGATGGGAATGTCGTCAACCCCAAGTCTTCGGCACAGGCCCAAATAGTCCCTCGTCAAAATGTCTGAATCCCAAATGTCGGGTCTGAATCCAATGTCGTCAAGTCTCAGGTCATATCTCTCTCTCGTAGTCCACAGATACTGAGAAGTAGGCAGCGAGAGGGGAAGAAGAGATGGTGGACTTAGAAGAGGAAGAAGAAGAACTCTCTCTCTCTCTCAGTCCAGTACTAACCTGTGAAGCTGGCGCCTTGGTGCAGGTACCTCGAAGATGGAGCTGGAGCGATGGTGCCACAGGTAAGTACCACTGGCCTCCGCCAGTCATCTCTCTCCTATATCACTACTACTACTACTACTATAGCGCCCAGCGCTGAAGACTACAGCTATGGCGCCCAGCGTTGAAGACTACAACTAGCGCTAAGCTGCCCTGGGCAGCGCTCCTCCTGCGTGCTGCTCCGCAATCCTGAAGACTACTCCTGACTACTGTCCAACTACCCACCTGGGAAGTGCATGGGAAACCCCTATGTACTACTCGGCCTGGACTGGCTGCAGGCGAGGCAGCAGTTCAGGAGGCTGCTCTTGCCAATGCCAGGGCCAGCCAGGGGCTGCCGCTGCAGCTCCTGCTGCAAGCTGGCGTGGGGAGCAGGCCAAAAATAGCATGTTCCCAAAACCCTGTTTTTGTGCCTGAGTCTTAGGTAGGTCGAACACAATGAGGGCCTGAAAATGGCCCTCCGTTTCAGGCTGAAAAACCTAAATAGGCTGAAAACGGAATAGGGCC